AAAAGCAGATGAAACAGAAACCAAACTTTCAAAGACTTTATTTTTATATGCTTTTAAAGTACTGTAATCTTCTGTTTAGGGACAGACATGTACATCTCTCTATATTCTCATGTGTAGGCATATGGAGAGTATTTTTAATAGAAATCAGTATTATCAATTATTTTTGTTTTTCCAAATTTGTTCTGAATCATTCCTTTTGTTCTGTCGAACTGTTATAATCTTTAACATACAGATTATATTTGACTATTTATGTATGTCGTTGAGATATTAAAACCACTTCCTCTTGTCTGTATGTCATTGATTCTGTTCTTGGTTACTGGTCATGTTCTCATCATCATTCATTTTAACTAAAAACTTGATGACGCGGTAGGACTTAATGTCTGACTACTATAAACATTTGAGACATCATTCAGTACATCATCCCTGCCATTTTCTTTCACAACCTGGTATGTCATGTGGATTTTTTGCTTATCTGTGTCTTAAATGAAAAACAATCCTGTTTCTCCAGCTTACTGTCTTTTCAGGTTTTGTCTCAGCCTTCTCATAATCTTTACAATTAAATTAGATCGCAGTTAAAGGGCTGACAGAAATAATTGTGTAATAATAATTTAAGCCTGCTGATTCTAGTCTCTGTCCACTAGATGGCGATAAAAGCATATCACCACACAGACTTGGATGATGAAATGTTGCATAACCTTGAGCTCCGATCACTAATTTTATTAAACTAGGTCCACAATTTGGTTATGCAATGGGTTTTCATTTTTGGACAAGGCTCTTTTATACTTGTTCTATCTTTAGCGTTTTATCTACGACTAATCAGCCAATGTGTAATGAGTTCATAGTGATCTCTGCTCTGTTGTCTACCAGCCTAAATGCTGAATAAACGCTGAGTTGCACGTTTAGAGGAAATAATTCTTCAGCCCCAGTTTATCTGGATGATGAAATCGTTAACTGTTAATCTTGCTCCACCCTTGACTTCAACATCACCTCTCTATGTCGCAATCTTCAATCTGCCCGCAATTCCAGATTTTTCCAGTAGTCTCTGCATTATAATGAGAGGGCGTGTTTTAGTGTCATGCAACACTGACGTCGAACGCTGCAACAAGGTCATGTTATATGCTCGTTAAAGCCCATCTCCAAAGCCAAATTAAGATCTTACAGATTCAAGCCAATTCAAAAAGCTTCGTTGGCAAAAAGGGTTTACAAAGTTTATATGCACTTTAAGTGTTTTGATGCACAAATGTAATCTACTCAAAATGAAGCTGCCTCAAAACTGAAAGCTATTGTTCAGAGAACGTAGGCTATTTATATTCCAAGCTACACGCTTGCAGCGTTTAAGCTACTTACTTTTTATGTAATATTTAAAATAATCATAATCTACGGCCGTATACAGTATGCACCATAGGTTACATTAATTAATGTCCATAAAGGAATCAATTCGCGAGTGTGATCGACTGATTCAAAGAACCGACACAAAAGAGTGATTCGTTTTACAGAGCATTATGTCAAATATAGAAAAACAGCTTCGCTACATGAAAACGCTGCATAAAAAGTTTAAACACAATCTATGCTACCAACACGTAATTAATACAAACTAATAACTTAGCTACTTTAGCAAATGTGCACATGTTGTATATGCGCATGCATACACACAATAAATGTATTAATCTCTAAATATAGTTTTTGGAAAGGGTTATAAATGTGAGTTGCATCAGATTAATCACAACGCTGCTGCTGCCCCGTTACATTCCTGCGGCACTGATCAACAGATCCGCACCATAACAGACGTTTTCTTTCGCTTTCAGCAACAAAACAAAACGCCTGGCCGTGTGTTACGTGTAATTATCTGGATCTGCAAGAACCGCAACAACGATACTGTTGTGTTCTGTCGGAATGTACCAGAACTGGAATGAAGAGGAAACGGCACGTCAGTGGGCGGGGCTTTGACCTCATGCTCCTCGAGTGGAGGATACGTGCAGAACGAGATGAAAACACACTGTGATCAAGCATTGGCACCTTCAAGCTGATTCAATGCGGGTAAATGTTGCATAAGGTTGTCTATCTTGGAATTCGAATATGCAATTTTATACTGGACTACTGTAACACTGGGACTCTGGAACTAAAATAAATCTTTGCACAAACCCATACAGTTTAATAGCTAATATTGCTAGGGGAAAAAACGAACAAACGAGTTTTATGATAGAAACATCCTTAGATAAGTGTACATAATAGGTATACATATCTAAGGACATTTAGTAGATCTATATATATGTCGTACATGATCTACAGGCTATCTGTAGGCTATTTAAATATAATGAATTGGGATATGCTTTATCTAAAAATTAGTTCAGTGTGATCCTGTACTTAATTTAAAGTTGTTATTGTTTTTTTACCCGCGCATTTACGTCACTGTTTTGTTCTTTTGTAAACTCAGACTATTCTGACTCTCTCAGGCATGCAAATATTTTTCCATCTGTTCCACTAGTATTTTCATTTTCGGGGTTTATTGTTTGGTGCCTGGACGATTTCCAATTTCTAGGAGAAACTGAAAAAAAACCTATTTTGTAAATTATGCTTGGCGGGCCATATATAATATAGATTATTAAGACAGCTGCGGGCCGCTTAACATTCATCCACGGGCCGCATTTGGCCCGCGGGCCGTAGTTTGGACACCCCTGCTTTAAGAGGAAAGAGGAAGTGCATGCTTTCCTCCACAGTTACACAACTTTATTAGTTTCATGTATTAGTTTTGTTAATTAGCCAAACCTTTGCTAATTATGTATGCCTTATTTCGGTGCACCCAAACTGTAATACCATGTAATCCACACTCTCAGGTTAAGCAGGTAGTGTGGATTTAATCACATTCAGGTGTATTCTGCTGTCAGTGTCTAATGTTTTGGATGACTGTCATCTCATAAGCTGTTCCTGCTTTCCTGCCACATGGATTTTGATTCCAGGAAACGTTTATGTGCTTCGGCAGAAGTGTGAATAAATCTTAATCATGTGTGTATGTAGCTGACTCCTCGGAAAACCTACACACCCTTGATGTAACAGAAGAGGACTACAGAGTGCCCAAAGAGATCGGTCCAAGCACACACACACACACACACACACACTTGTCTGTCTTTCTCTCCCTCTCCAACGCACTTACACTCTCACTTTCACACTCCACTGTCATCATACAAACACCTCTCTTTCTCACTTTCTCCACTTTCCTCACTTTTCCTCCCCAACAAAAATGTCACATATGTTCTTGCACTGTACATTCAAATGCAGATTAGCTGTTTCATACAGAACACCCAGACATTACTCTTTGTAACACACCCACAACACCTCACCAATCAGATCCCACCCTCTTTGAGATGTACATGTGTGTGCTTCTGTTATTGACTCTGTTATGCATTCCTACCCAATGGAGAGTTAGAATATCATTTGGACCCTTTTGCGAAGGCCCCACTCTGTTAACCCAGAGTACCATCTGCCCCTCCTCTATCACGTGGCTTGTTTTCAACATAACTTGGCATTTCATCATGTGCTTCTTTCCTCGGAAGCCTCGCTCTGAACTTTGCGTAATCTTTGGGGCTGTTTTCATGGCTGAATATATAGGGCAAAACAAACTGAGAGGCCAACCATAGAGATAGACAGGAGGGAGGGGGAAGTCACAAGATGTCCCTCGGACCCAAATGGCTCTAAGTGGCATTGACTTATTTGACCACCTGAGAAAATAAAGCCTGAGCCACTGAAGAACATAATATATTACTATTGACATAACCTTGTGAGTTTATGATAAGAAAGTTTCACTATGTTTCTGTGACAGTGTACGCTGTATGGAATCTGAAATGATTCGGGTATCAAAACTGCCATGTCTAGGGCCCGTATCTCAGTCATTTCGTTTGGCTCATTCAAAGGATCGAAATCATCAAAGCTTTCATTAAGCTTTGGGATATACTCCTAACCGTCTATCTCCGACTCAGCATGTCTGTAAATTGTGCCGGTGTCACGATCGTGTGCATGCCTGTGAATTCTAACATTCCCATCCATCCTGTTAAGGGAAAGGAATGTTGAAGTTACAGTTCAGACGAGACAGTTGTGTTTTATAGAGTAACAAATGTTGTTTTCAAGTGGTGGATAATGCACATGTATTGTTCCTAAATAATCTACAAGAAAATATTGCTCTTCATGAAAGGGTTTCCCAAACTGTTGGTGAAAAGCTAATAATTCAATCATAAAATGTAAATTTTAAATAAATAATATATATATATTTCACGTTCAATTCAACGTGTTACTGTCATTACTTTGTAATTATTTGTGAAATTTAATATCAATTTTTGAGTGTAAATTGTTTTGAAGTAAATACTACACAAAAAAAATAAGAAATAAATAAAATAAATATCTAATCACTCATTTGGAATGAACATTTCACGTCATCATTATTAGCTATTGCTTTGATATTTCCTTCATAGAAAACCAGCTCTTACCAGCTGTTTAAAAACTCACGCTAAGTCATTTGGGGGTTTTGACAGTTAATTTGTCTGTTGCAGAATATTGCATCAGGCAGAATTAATGCTAGTTCGACTAGTTATACACAAGACGTACGATTTGGATTATGTACATTTAAGTCTTCATCATACTTTTTAATGTATTGTTATTACGGTACCAGTACCGGTTTAAAAGGCTTTTAAACTTTTAGAGATTAAAAAAGGAATAGACTAAAAGCACTGCAGCGCTTCTATTCACCTCAGGCTTTAATCACAACATTCGTCACCAGCCCACGTGACTCTCTCTCTCTCTCTCTCTCTCTCTCTCTCTCTCTCTCTCTCT